AGGGCAAGCCTAGGAGCCTGTCTTCCCATGCATTAGGAGGCTTCCTGTCTCTCCAATCGGGAGGAGGCATTTGGCTCCCTTCAAATCTTCTCATTTCCCCTTTCTCAACTTTTCTCATCTCCCCCGAGAAAACTGCTCTGAGAATTGGTGCTGGGGTTAAAACCCCTACCCTCATTTAGCCGTGACATGAAAATTTCATGTCCTCTTTCACAGCCTGGGGCTCTATCTCCCTCACGTCTAGTCATCATTTGCCCGACATCCTTAGGTGGCCCCAACACTCTCAGAGAAACAAAGAACATTTCTGCAGCGTGCTGCCCTGCATCCTCCGGCTATTCCCTCCTTCCTTAGGTCCAGCATGCTATGTCCTCTTTCACCTCCTGCTTGCCACTTGCTGCTCCACCACCTGCAGTGTCCCTTCATCCTTCTCTGCCCCTGCCCCTTCTCCTGGTTCCCCACTATCACTTCTCTAAGACCCAGCCCAGAAGCCCCGTAAGATACTGCTCCTTGTCCCACCCTCAACCATTAACCATATTTTTGTCCCTGTTGATGTCTAGCTCCTCCTCAAAGTTGACCTCTCTGAGGGCAGAGCCAGAGTCTCTCCTGTTCCAATAAATGTCTAGCACCTAACCCAGTCCCTGTTACCTGGTCGGCCACCATGGATACATTGTGTTAATGAATGAATATAAACTCTTTAAAAAAAAAACATTTATCTTACTTATTTATGCATACAAGAGCTGGGGTGTAGGCCACAAATATGGGGTGGTTGGGTGAGAGGATTTACCAGAGACAAGGTAAGGAAGCAGAGCAGGCAGATTGACTGAAATATGCTGCTGAAGGGAGCAGCAGGTAAAACAGGAGAGGTCTGCTGTACCATGTGAGTCACCTCCCTGACCAGGATCGAACTCAGGCTGCAGTGGCTGCCAATAGCTTCATAGTGCTGAGACTTAACCCCTTGCACCACCAGGGAGGTCCAATGAATGTATGCTCTTTAGATCACCTTCTTTGGGCTAACCATGGTGTTAAAGTATTTCACTTAATCACCAGAAACCTGTGAGATTGGTGTTATTTTACATGGAGGGAAACTGAGATTCAAAGAGGGAAAGGTAATATCCCAAGTCATGCAAGGAGTCTCCAGTGGGCCCTGGCTCTGAAACTACTACCTGCTGGGAAGGAAGGCCTGCTGAATATGGCTGAGCCAGGACAGCGCTGGGACCCACACTGGTGGCTCCAGTTACACTGGGCGGGACGGGTGCCAGAGCCTCATCTTGTTGCTCTCTGGGCTGCTGCCTTGGCCTGCATGGTCCTCCTTCCTTCAGTGGAACTGTGCTCATCAGGTTTCCCAAGCAGGAGCCAGGCCTCTGCCAAATGCAGCCTAGAAGCTCTGATCATTCCAGGACACAGGTTCCCAGGGGATGATGCAGGCCTGGGCAAGCCTTTGCCCTACCTCCCATCAGTAGGACCACTACCTCATTTATAAGACCCAGAAAACAATGGATATGTAGGCCTCTTGTTCAAAAATTCAAGAATTTCAAAATGGTATAGCAGAGCTCTTAATCAAGTGCCTTTGAAGCATGGAGCTCTATGTAAATGTTCAGGTCACATGCCCATGGAGTGAGCTTTGTCCTCAGGCTGTGCTTTTCTCATCTGTCAACTGGCAGAAAGACAGCCACTTGGCCAGGCAGGGAGGGTGAATGATAGAGCACTGGGTCCCTGTGGACCTCATTTGTTGTTTGGGTCCCAATGCTAAGTAACAGACTAATTCCTGCGAGGTATTTAGTTCTTCATATACCTCCTTTCCATGGACCCAAAAACTATGCTCAAAGAAGCAAAATGAGTCACACAGGCACTCCATGGGGGAAACAAAAATTCTGGACTTGTCTCCCTGCAAAATTGGTGCTTTTTTTTTTTTTCAACACAAGCAAAAGAGAGAGAGGAGAAGGGCAAGAGGGAGGTGGGGGAACTGCTCAGGACAAAGAGGGCCACTGTGCAGACACAAAGACCTGACCACAGAGGCCCCTGCGGGGGCTGGGCCAGATGGGTGGATAGAAAGGTCCCATGGTGACTGGGGAGGTGCCAGAAGCTGCCTCCCAGCCCCTCCCTGACTGTGGTGGGGTGGAGGAGTGGCATGTAAGGAGCCAGGAAGTGGATCAAGAAGGAGAATCAGAAGGAGGCTGGGCCCCTTACTCCAGTACACTCTCAGGAGTAGCCTACCCGCTTAAGGAATCTCTCCTCTCCCCAAATACCACCCACCACTTCACTTTCCCTCTCTCAATGAGTAGTGGGCTCAGAT